TGCAGTCCTGCATTTGGATGTACACATGGGTTTTTGAGGGGGAAAAAATGAATGAATGAGAGAAATATCTTCACTGCTCTTTGGTTTGAAAGACATACATACACAGGTATTGCATCACTTGTGTATCCACAGTAACTCTCACAGCTGGTATTGATTTCTTCCTGTTACTACTACAGGTGGCCTTTTATTGGATGTTGACCCAAATACAGAACTGTAGTGATCTTTTCGGTCACCACTATCAACGTCATACAGACGTACAGATAAGTCATTAAGGTTAACCCATCTTGTCAGAAACCCACTGATAACCATTTCTCTCCAAAGTTGTCAGCATGTCATTAAGGGCGGTTTAATGAGCTGCTCTGTAAATACCTAGATATTTATCAAACGCCTTATGTTTCAGGTGAAAACCCACAGTGTCCCTCATCACTGATGATGATGATAAGATATCCTGGGTGACAAAACAGGTTTTCCTGTCAGTCAGACACTGAAGACGTCATTAACGTTCCACAGGCAGGAGGCTGGTGGACTCTTCACTGAAATCTATAATTAACCACATTAGTGATGCCTTATGGTGAAAACACTGCCTGCTTTACATTATGGATCTTACAGTGATGATATGAGAGATAAAGCTGTACTAGTGGGAGGAGGAGGAGGAGGAGTAGGAACCTTTGTTGTGCTCCATCAGCTAATTAACTTATGCTAATTTTCATTCCGACCACACATCCAGCAACACAGTGTGCCACACAGGAAGGTCGGAGATTTCACAGATTGCGGGAAAATATACACACAAATGCAAATACGCACAGAGCTTCAGCTCCACTGAAGAGTGAAACTGGGTCAAAGGGAAGGAGGAAACAGAATCATTGACCTGAGAGGAGTCACTCCCTGCAGGGCTGAGAGAGTGACTTCAGAGGGAGCTGTGTGACAGAACTCTGGATCATTTTCTACATGTCTCCATCTATAGTGACAAACTGATGCCATTAGTTGTTGTTTCAGTGAATGACCTGCTGTGTCTTGGTTCTTTCGGTGATCGTAAAAAACCTGTGCGTGAAAATCCCTAACCCTATAATAACCAACTATGGCTTATAAACCACTGCTGCTTATTCCACCTCCATCACTGTTGTGGAGATCAGACAGATCTACATGTCTTCAACAGAAAAGTCAGAAAAGTCTTCAACAGAAAAGTCAAGCCATATATTTCCTAACAAAGGAGCACTTCTACTAGCTGAGGCGGACAACAACGCCAAGGTTTTTTTTCTCCCCACTGTTGCCAGAACACTTGTCTGGGATCTAATTTGGTTTTCAACACAGCACACTACTGAACAAAACGAAACGTGACCTCTGCTTTTAACCCATCACCAACGGACTCAAAGCCGAAAACCTTCCAGAGTCAAGTCCACTTCCTTAACCCTTAAACTCATTCTGCCTTATTTTGTATCATTAATTTAATCTTAAATTATATTCTAACTGTAGATATACTCATCCAGTTGTTATGTTATATGGGTTTTTAGGATATCCTTAATTATGAAATTAAAACAGTGAAGACCATTAAGACAAATGCTATACAATAAAATGTACTTGTTTTTTTATTTTTAAAATTATATTTATATTTCTGTCTCACCTTTTATTATCAAGATTAGTTCATATTTAGCATGAAAAGTGTGTAAAAGAAGGGAAGACTCCTGGACAGATCGTCTAATTAGTGAGGCTTAGTGTTTATGTTCTCTGACATTAATGCCTTCTTTATGAAACAGAGCTATTTCTAACAAAGCTGGTAAATAATTGGAAACAACATGCACGACTTAAAGACAAAGACAAGTGAGAAAATGTAGCAAAAAGCAAATAGTGTTCAAAAACTAAAGGACGTGACTGTACATTCAAACCAAGGAATTAAACAGAATTAAAGCAAAACCAATACCTTTCTTCCTTGCTGCAGTTAGTGTTTGTGATATCCAAGCTTTTACTGAAAACAGATTTGCTAAAAAGGGGGCAGACAGAAAATCAGGAGACAGAAAGAAGTGCAGTCACATAAGGGGGAAAACTCTGATACAGAGCATGCAGCAAACACAAATAAAACCAACAAAACAGAAATCACTGAGTTTCACACATATGTAGCACTGTAGTACAAAAAAACAGTCGCCTCCAAACAAAAAACAAAACTAAAACCGAACACATGCAAGGATTAAAGTGGAAATTAGAAGAAACGAAATTCGAGAAACACAAAACTGCATCATGCTCAAGTCGCAGCAACATTTGATCTGGTACTAATTAAAAATACATAATTTAAAAAGGACATTTGAATTGGTGTGAAAAGAAAAAAGTAACAGGTTAAGATGGAGCTGAGAGACAAACCTTTCTGACCAGTGATATTATTAATGGTATGTTGTTTAACTAATGCTTTTGCTGCTGTTGCCTTGACGACCTTTGAACCTCTGCACGTCACACGACCAGAGCATCTCATGCACCTGGATTTTTAGCACCCCCTTCAGGAGGTTGACAGAGTTGGAGCTGCATGCTCTGAGGTTACCAGCACTAAATCTGAAAAAACTCTACCTTTAAAAAGTGCATTAAAAAAGTGACCAGTGACCAGTTTCCTGTTGCTGATGTGATGCAGAAGCATTCATTGTAGCCTGACTTTTACCTGAGGAGCTCCACGTCCTGGTCGACTGCATGCTCCATGCTTACTTCACTCATACAACGCACAAACCCCAGAGGCTGGTTCATGCAGTTTAGCAACTGTTTTACAACCTGGCAACACCACTGAGACTACGGAGCAGAAGACAATCTGGACCAATTTTTACTGTTGTCTTTTCCTGGTTCTGTTACAGGGTTCACAATGAGAACGATGCATCATGTATTTGAGTGCAGCTCCGTGCAGTTGGGGAGGATTTACAGCCCAGGACAAATTGAAGTGTAGATAAGTAAAGGAGGGATGTACAGAGGGCGAGCAGACGATGTGTGTGTGACATAAATCTGCACAGAAGGAACTGATCCAACTTTGATGAAGCGCTGCCGAACTATAACTCCTCCCCAGGACTTTTATCAGCTGCAGTTAAATACATTGTCTATTTGAACTCACAACAACAGTCAACACTAGTACCAGAAGGCTGACCTCTGTGTGCCAGGCATGTCTGGACCATGCTCCAGAACACATGTGCTGACTGGCACCTCTCACCTCTGTCCATGTGTGGCCATGTCTATGGCCCGCCGTACCGGCACAGGAGACCCGCCCTCTGTGACACTCAGCACCTCCATGGACTTCCTCTCCGGTCTCCGTTTGCCGTGACGACTCAGCATGGGTGAGTCCACGCGCTTCCTGGGCGGATCTGCTGAGCAGGGACAGAGTAAGGTCAGGAATTATAGGTCAAAGAAGGAATACATTAGTAAAACTGAGCTCTACATTTCCGGCTGCTCACGTGTCATTTTCTTTAGCACTCTTTTAATCACCTCTGGGAAAATTTACTCGCACATTTAACCGATCAATGAAACACTCCAGTGTTTAACAGCGGACCACGCAGCATCAGTGGGCTGTATCAGTGGGCTGTATCAGTGGGCTGTATCAGTGGGCTGTATCAGTGGGCTGTATCAGTGGGCTGTATCAGTGGGCTGTATCAGTGGGCTGTATCAGTGGGCTGTATCAGTGGGCTGTATCAGTGGGCTGTAGCTTTTTAGTGAACCTAAACACACCAAAGTCTTGCTAGTGTGGGAATTTGAACCAGTAATTTGAAGCCAGATCCTGTTCTTTATTGACTCTAATTAAAATGTACATGTAAATAATTTAACAAATGGAAAAAAGTGTAACATACTTCATCAGGAATCGTGCTGTTAGCTTAGCATTTGGAAAGTGAACCACAACAACGTACTTTTACGGTTTGATACAGAGTTGGGAACTTTTGGAACGTTTGTTTCTCTGCCCCTTCATCTGTGACGTCAGACTGTCCTCAATTCACTCCAAGGACAGAACACTTTATATTGGCTGCAGCTTCTCAACCACTTCAACTGGCTGAGACCAGGAGGGGGAGGAGGAGGAGGACGAGGAGGAGGACGAGGAGGAGGAGGAGGTTTTTCAGCTGCTGCCAAGTGGCTCTTGTAGAAGCCACTGTAATGTAGCCTTAGAGTGGATCAGTTCAATGAAGGCTCCTCTAAATGTGCTGCCACGTCTTTATATACTGGACCTAGAGAGAGTGTGTGTGTGTGTCTGTGTGTGTGGTTCATGAAGAAAAAGCATGCAGAACATTTCCCCTGTCCTTTGCATTTGAAATGTTGAAAAAAACAAACAAACAAAAAAACCCTTAGAAATGTATTTTCTAAGGGAAAATGCACAATTTAAAGTGTGTAGAGTTTCAGCTCCTGGAACACTGCTGGACCTGGACCTGGACCTGGACCTACCGATCTCGTTTCGTGGCGGCAGGTTCTGGTCCTCATGACTGGGATATCGCTCTTTACGATCCAGAAGCAGGAAGTAGATCATCTTTTCCTGGTTGTCACTGGGAAGAGAAGCGTACCCAAGAATTAATTGTCAGCTGCGTGTTCATTGGTTGAGAGAGGGACAATAAGACGCTCCATCATCACTAGACATTTTAAATAGGAGAATTCATCAAAGTGACAATCTCTCTGCTCCACTGTCTCCTCCTTCATTCCTCTTCTTTCTCACTTTAATTTGTTTCCTCAAGTGGTTTTATCCTTTCTAAACTCCTCCCCCTCCCTCCTAAATGTTCCCTCTCGCCACTCACTCCTCCGAAAGCAGATCTTTGGTCAGTTTGTCTTTGTCTCTGAAGCAGCCCAGAGAGTGCATGCTCTCCAGAACGTCAGGGTCGATCTCTTCAGTGGCAGCCAGCATCCTGATGGCCACCTTCCTGGGGACGGGCTGCTCAGGCTCAGGCTCATTCTTTCCAGCGCTGGAAAAAAAAGTGACAAGGATTTATCTGGCAAAAAAAACAAAAAACAAAATCTTTTCATCTTTCTGTGGGACACTTCAGCAGCATCAGAAGGTCAAAGGTCGACAGGATAGATAAGGCGACTCGTAGATAAGAAGTCTTTTTTCACTGCAGGCGACATTCAAGTTCTACTCTGTCATCCACACGATCCTTTCATTAATAACAATAAAGCACCGGCGCACGAGCGTCAAACGTCAGAAATTAAGATGAAGCTGCGCCCGAGGAAAGGCACTGTAAACTGTAAATTCAAATTCACGGCAATTCTGTGGTCATAAATTGAATCTAGTCGGACATGCATGATTCATTTCCACAGTATTTACAATTTACATCACATTATATTTACATGTATTTATACTTGAAGGTTAACCGACTTAATAGTCAATGAAACACCAAGATACTGGTTAGAGAAAAGTGTCACACCTAGTAACTTTTTATTTTAGGGACTTTTGATAAAAACACTACCAACCAAAACAATCCTAATTAAACACACTGTCAAAGAACTGGAGACAAACTACTGTGTGTCAAGCATTAAAGTTAAATAAGCCTGAAATTGATCTCTCTTATTGAAATACTTGGCACAACGTTGTCACCTTGCTCGTCCACTTGAATCCATTAACTGGTATTTTCATTAGCGCTGAATGAATTCAGCTACGACATTTGCAAATTCCCTTCTACAAATACTGACAGAAATGTTGAAAATCTACCCAGAATTTAAGACTTGAGGTGAAATAAACAAACCTTAGGAGATGTCAGTGAGCGACACATGTGCAACATGAAACAGATTGGATTTAAACCTGTCCACCCAGTTTAATTTTGCATAATCAGCAGCATTGTGCTTTTTGTCAGAGCCAGAAATAGTCAGCGCATTAGAGACGAGGATCCATTAGCAACGACGGACTGTCCCTAATGTTTGATCTGTCCTCTAAAATGTATGCCAGTTACATCTCTTACCCTGAGAGACTAATGGACTAATGCTTCTTGTCTGAGAACGTTCCATCTGAGATTTCAACAACCAGCTTCTATTCACCTTCGCTTCTTTTCACCCCTGTGATTCAAGTGAGCAAACAAACAGAAAAAGAAAGTGGAGATACTCACAGGTACCACGTGTGCTTCTGAATCTGCTCCAGCTGTGGAGGAAAATCAGAGAAGAGACAAATATGAAGGACTCTTTGAATTGATTGTATACATTACAAACACCTTGAAAACCTTGTCTGTGTAAAACAAGAGTAGTAGGTTGAACAATCACAGGTTCTTTAAAAGTATTTTTTCAGTTGTCCTGTCACACACTGACACTAATCCCCTGTCCTTTTAATATGCTGAAAGTCTTCTTTCCTACAGTTGAACTTTAGATTCTATGTTTAAGTGTTCAACAGAGGTCAGACCGAGGGGGGAGAAAAACAAAGCGATAAATCCTGAATGACATCGGAGAGTGGTTTTTAATCTGCTCAAATGGAGACTAAAAAGTGTTGAGCTGCTCTGAGGTGAGCAGAGGTGCTGCACCGGCTGGAAACAGAGAAGCAATTTGGTACAAAATCAGCCACTAACAGAAATACACACTCATGACCTTTGACCTGAATGTATTCACACACACTACGAAGAGAAACTGAGAAGGGAAATCATTTTCCAGGATGAATTATGCAAATTCAGGATATTTGATGTTTTTTTCTCATTTCCCACAATTTTTTCAATGACTGGGAAAAAAAATATTATCACAAAATACTACATATGACATTTATCCTAGTGGAGCGTTTACTGTATTTAATTCTAACTGAGGATACAAGTGTGCCTATAATTCTAAAGAAAAGAACCTGAACTCCCCCTGAAGAACTTCCTCGCTTCTTCTAAACCCGATCTCAGTGTAACCTGTCGAGCTAAGCCTGTCAGTACGTGATGTCTGTTTCCTGCTCGTCATCTTACAGTGAGCCTCTTGCCGGCGTCCACTTCAATCATGCCACGCAGAAGGTTCTGACAGTCTGGTGGAATGAAGTGCGGCATGTGGAACACTCCCAGCTTCACCTTCTCCAGGAGATTCCTCAGGTTGTCATCATCAAACGGCAGAGCGCCCTGGAGAAGAAGATGCACAGCATATTTGATGTATTGTTTATATTGTTTATTGACTATGATCGTCTAATCCACACGTGTCAAACTCAGGCCCGGGTCCAAATCTGGCCCGCGGTGTAATTATATTTGGCCCACCAGATCATATCAAACGTGTACTGGAGTTGGTCCGCCAGTATATAGCCCCTATATACTGGCAGTATTTGTAGTATTAGCCATGTATGCACTATATTATAGCACACAGCTGTATAGCACATTTATGCACATATACATATAGATACATATATACATTATATGACATATAGTTATAGCACATTTTTGTTTTGTTGTTGGCCTGTGAAAACCAGATTTACATTAAAAATAAACTGTATAGGCTACAGATAAAGAGACACACCACTGATGTGTGTCTTATTCAAGTTTAATTTCTCATGTGTTTATAATATTAAACTTTGGTTAATCTAGATTCAATGTTTACGCAAAACTAAAGTTTGTTTCCACATGAAAAAAAAATCTACATTACAGATCTGGTGAGTTTGGCCCACGACTTTGTTCCAGTTTTAAATTTTGGCCCAGTGTGAAACTGAGTTTGACACCCTGGTCTAATCCTTAGACAACAGTGGTGTCTGGACCTGCTCTGCAGCTGTGGGCTGTGATCAGCAGACTGAAGACAGCAGGGGGCGGAGCCAGAGGAGGAGTGGAGAGATTTATCTTTATAAGATTGAGGGACTACATGTGTTGTCTCATCTCCAAACGCAATAAATGACTCATTTGTAAGTGTCACATTACGGACACCTTGGTAAAAAGAGGACACTGGTGCCGTGGAACAGACTGAAAATAACAGACGCAGACTGAGAGTCTGAAATCTCCTGTCAGTCAGGTCTGTGAAAATAGGCCGGCAAGTGCAACGTTTAAAAAAAAAAATCTTCATTATAAAAAGAACTCACAGTAAAAATGTTTGGGCTGCGATGGAGGATTTGACTCAAAGAAAAGCAGTTTTAAAGGAGAAATCTGCCAATTAATAAACTTTATTTTTACTGGCAGATTTTCATGACTGTTGATGAATGAAACTGATTATTAGTATCCTCTCATTCCATTACTCAGGAAAATTACGCCAATGACATTGACTTTGTGCCTGACTGTGAAACTTGGGACAGATTGTTCATTCATTTACACTCAATACCAATTCATTTTTTGCTTGAATAACCATCGATTAACAAACAAATGTCCTCATTCAGGAATACATGGACACACTGGAGAGACTGGTATTGAAAACCGGTCCTCCAGGTGTGAGGACGACTAAGAAAACCCTCTGACTCCTCAGCTCCTCATAAATAAAGACAATGTCTGCTTAAAATACAATTTACCAAACTGTTATTTCTGTGGTTTTTATTGTCTTTATAACAAAGTAATGCTGCAATTTTGTACACAATAAAAGACAAAGCCAGAATGGAGGTATCTTTCATTTCCTTCAGTTAGTCAGTCACTGCAGTGGAGCTGCAGACGTTACTCACCACTAAAAGTGCAAACAGGATGACACCACAGCTCCAGGCGTCGGCTTTTCTTCCATCGTACTTTTCTCCCTGATGGACACAAAAAGAGACTGATCATTAGTGTGTGTGTGTGTGTGTGTGTGTGTACATATGCAATTGTGTTTATCTCAATTTTAAAAAATGAACTGAAGTGAAGGACACATATTTTAGATCTTCCCAACTCTCCTACTATAACAGGATGAATTAACTGATGAAAAAGAAAATCTACATTCAAAATGAAAAATGAAATGAAGCATTAACGCTGAGTCAGGGGTGAAAAGGGTTGCGGTGAAAGCACTGATGTGCTGAAGAGCGAGGGACAGAGAGAGAGACTTACCCTGATGACCTCTGGACAGGCGTAGTGCGGCGATCTGTAAAGCAGCAGAAGAGGATGGTTATGCTGGGAAGGCACAGCCACGCACACACACACACACTCTCTCTCTCACACACACACAGAGGTAAACGTTCTTGACAGCTTCAACCATCACACAGAGAAATCGACCACAAACCCAAACTTACACAGAGACAACACTCGGCTGCAGAGTGAGACGTGGTCTCCACCGTATACACACTGCACCACTGACAACATCCTGTCTAATTATACTAATGTACAGTGTGTACAACCAGGCCCATGTGAAGGGCTCACTCATTACACCGGGGCTAAATTTCATCCCTTCTGCAGCGGGCTCCGTGTACACTTGTCACTGCTGAATGACAGTTAACAAATTCCATTAACTTTAGACGAGGAGGAAGAGCCGTTTGACGAGTTACTCATGCATGAGGAGAGTTCGGGGTTTTTCATTAACTCTCCGTGGAGTGTGGAGGAAAAACTGACGTTTCAGTTTGTCAGAGAACTCACCCACAGCTGGTCTCCAGCAGATTGTCCCCGACCTGCAGAGACGCCATGCCAAAGTCTGCTATCCTGATGTTGTTCTTCTCATCTAACAACAAGTTCTCTGGCTTTAAGTCTCTGTGACTGAAGGAGAAAAAAAAACACAAATTAATTATCAGCGACTATACAAAAATGTTTATTATTATACACTGCAACAATTTCATTTCTCAGCCTCACACTGATGGAAGTTGGTGAATTTACAAAAAAAATAATTCTTGCACTGATGTTAGGACAGACCTACAGTTCAGTTTTCCGGCTCTAAACAAGTGTCAAAATAAAGATAAATGTGATGAAAGAATCAGTGAAACCAACCATATGGAGTGGCTGTGGCAGAAGTCCAGAGCTGAGATGATCTGTCTGAAGAACTTTCTGGCTTCTTTTGGCGTTAACCTGCCCTTCTTCACCAGGTAGTCGAAGAGCTCACCTCCAGAAACATGCTCTAGCACCAGGTATCTGCACAGGAAACAGGAACAAATCAATCAGAAATGTAGAGCTTCTAATGAAAAGTAGTTATCTGTAGATACATGGATTTTACAGCTGGAACACAATAATAACACAGAAATAGGCAAAAAGAAGCCACAGAAACCACAATGTACAAATGTAAAACATGGAAGAACCACAGAACTGCAAAAGTTATTATTGGTACGGTGAAATAAAAACACTGAGCCATAAACTACCATGTATTTGTCAGTGACACAAAGAGGAGGGTACCACAGAACAATGTAAATCCCTGATGAAACCCCATGTGCCTTATTTGTTTCTGTGTGTGTGGCTTTAAAATGTCATATGTATCTGTTGCTGTTCATTTATCTCACAGAGACTCTGCAGGGGGAGTCGTCTACCTCCCCCCACAGACCTGTGGCCTGATTTATTAGCAGATTAAGAGATCTGCTGAAGCGTTTACCTGTCAGGGCTATTTAAATTAGAAACATGTTTGCACGTGATTTGTGATTGTGAAAAATCTTCTCCGGCAAACCGCTTGCCTCCGTGATAACCATCCATCCCTGTTCTCACGTCATTAAGAAAACAAATCCCTGCTCCATTTGACTGTGGCGCCTTTATTATCGAACAGCATGTTAAGCCGAGCCGCTGAGAGCGGTCGCCCTGAGCGGAAGATGAATGTGAAAAATAAAACAGAGCCCTACAGTAAATCCCTGCTCTAATACTGATCTGAAGTGTTTGCCAGGGTCAGGAAGGAGCAAGATATGAAAAACCTCCATTTTAATACTGAAAACAGTAAGAAAATAACATTTCAGAATCTTAGTTTGTAGTCATGTGTTAGTTGTTATGTGTTTATATTGTGATCTGCTATGAGTGTGTGTGTAAATCAAAACATACATGCACACACACATACATGTCATATATGTGCCAGACATACATGTCATATATGTACCAGACATACATTTGAAGACAACGTGACATGGAGTAAAAATGATCCAGTCACCTTTTCTTTTTATAAAAGAGAACGCAGCTGAACATGTCAGATGTGTCTCACAGTCAGTGCGGCTGCTGTAACGTGTAAACGTAGAATGATGAAAGCTGAAGGTGGTACTGAATGTATTCAGTGCGAACCCGGCCCTAAAACCACCAGGCAGTTCTCTGGGAGAATTTCACAGTTTTGACGTTTGACTTTGTCTAAGGTTCAGGTTTCCTTCATTAATGGTTGTTTAACTTTCTAGACGACACAGTCTGAAAACTTTGTGACAGAATAAAACAACTGGACCTGAACATGGTGTACCGACTTTAAAGAACAAGGCTAGAAAAACAGGGGATTTATATTGTAAACAATAACTAAGGCTGTAGTTTAATACATAATGGCACTGTGTGACCAAATGATTTGCACGTTTCATGAAGCACGGTGCTTTCCTGTGTTGAGGGATGCTGTTTAGGTGGACAGAATCATGCATCACATGAGCAGCGTGAACTTACAGATATTTCTTGTTTTCATAGACGTCGTGCAGCTTTAAAACGTGGGGATGTTCTATGAGTTTGAGGATGGCGATCTCTCGCTCCACCTGCAGAGACACACAAACAAACACGTTTTGTTTTTTTAGGGAAGGCTTGTATTTTGTGTTTCATGAAGTTGTTGGAAGTGTACAGCTCCACAGGCTAGTAGACAGACTGAACACCACTGACTGCTGGCTCAGACGTGTCAACAGAGACCACTTAGAGTCTGGAATGAAAACAAATTAGAAACGATAAAACCTTGACAGAAATAACTCTAAATTCTTATAAAACATCTTCACAATGGACCACAGCAATTTCCCGGTTTAGAGGCCGTCAACATTAACGTACAACTCTAACGATTTAGTGACGAGACAGCCGTTTATTTTATTTCTGCGACAGCCGTTCAATAGTGTGTTGTGGTGTTTGTCCAGAGACTGTTAAACTCTCTGGTGTCATCAGCAGCAGCGTCCTCCAAACATCAGACGTCCAATTCCCTTCATACAACCATGCACACACATTGTAACATGGCAGAGCCTAATTAAAGACATAAACAAGGTGCGAGTCAAACAGACCCCCGCCCCCCGTGTTGAACAATGGTGTTCATTAGGCTCCATTATGACTCATTTGGCTTCTTTTTAATGTGCAGCAATTAAAAAAAATGTGGTTGTGGGAAAATGAGGCTGGCGGCCAGGTGGGACCAAATTCAGCCCTTCACACAGGTCCAGCACTGAAACAGCTGTCTGCTGTGATGTTGA